TAGTATATGCATTTCATCACAATTTAAAAGCAAAAACTCCCTGGCCCAGCAGGTACATACACTGCAGCCTCCATAGAGGAACCATAATTCTTCTGTGAAGCCACCCAGGCCAGAGCTCAAGCACAGACAGAGAGGCAGCTGGCCAAAACCACCCAAGATACCTGCCCCTCCCCCTCTCCCTGCAGGTTCCCATGCCAGCTTGGTGCCAACTCCTTCTGGCTCCAACCTAAGGAGGGTCTCCTCTGCTCCTGGACTCAGTATCTTCATCTCTGAAATGGACTCCTGGTCAGGACAGTAACTTGGTCAGAGCCCAGGGTTACTGCATCTGGGTGACCCTGGGTTTCATGGTGTCCCATGTCCAAACTTCCTCATTTGTGGTTCTCAGCAATTCACCACTCTGGGTATTTATGGCTTGGCTACTGCACACCAACTTAATGTGAAATATGTCCATGTGCTCCTCTAGGGAGTGTTTAACCCCTACACAGGTGAGGGGCAAGTCCTGTTGTTCCTCCCACTCTATCCATGGACAAAGAGAGGGGCATTCACTGCCCACAATGGGCAGACAAGGAAAGGCCAAACCAGGATTTGAGCCCAAGTCTTGAACAACCCATCCCATACGCACATGGCCCTCCCTAAACAATTGCTAGGGTCTATGTGTTGCCTACCTGGTGACTCCCCATCCCTTGTGAACCCAACTTATCACCCCATCTCAGACAGGACTCACCTTCTGCCCATTGCAAATGGCAGGAAGAAGTGGACAGCTGGGTCACAGCCAGAGGGTATGAAAGTTCCCCATTGGGCCAGGCGTGGTGGCACATGCCTTTAATCCCAGCACAAGTGAGGCAGAGGCAGGTGGATTCCTGTGAGATTGAGGCCATCCTGGTCTACATAGTGAGTTCTAGGTGGGGCTAGTACTTGCTATATAATTGTGAGGACTGGAACTCAGATTCCAGCACCCATGTAACAAGCCAGGGGTCCCACATACACCTCCAGGGCAGGGTGGAGACAGCAGGATCACTGGAGCTTGGGGGCTTCCAGTGAACCTGAGGCTCAGGGAGAGACTCTGCCTCAAAGGAACAGGTGGAAAGTGAGAGAGGGTACCCAGGCACACACATGTGCATGCACACATACATACAAATAAATAAATCTTTAAAAAATAACTTCACTCCTGTGGTTAACTCTTCAGGGACACAGGATGCTGCTGGCATCAAGGAGTGTCCTGCTGCACCACCTGACACTGTTTCTGTGGGGGAAATCACCTCATCTATCTGATCCAGTTTCCATATCTGAAAAATGGGAATATATATTATATACATGTAATATATACATATATATTTTTTAAGACAATTACCAGGCCTAGAACATGATATATAGGTGAGGATGACCTTGAATTTCTGAGCCTTCTGCCTCTACCTCCCAAGTGCTGGGATTACAGGCATGCACCATCATGCCCAGTTTATGTGGTACTGGGAATTAAACCTAGGGCTTTGCTAGGCAAGCACTCTACTAACTGAGCTATAGAATATTAACCACCTCATTGGGGTCTTTGCGAAGATTAAATGTAAGGACACACACAGAATGACGGTTAATGCTGATTGTCAGCTTGATATATCTATAATCACCTAGAAGACAAAGCTCTGGGTATGTGAGGATGTATCAAAATGGGTTAATTGCGGTGGGAAGGCCCACCATAAATGTCAATGGCACCATTCCATGGGCTGGGGTCCTAGACTGAATAAAAATGAGGAAGAGAGATGAGGGCAGGAGAAATGGCTCAGTGGTTAAGAGCACTGGCTACTTTTGTAGAGGACTGGGGTTCAGTTCCTAGCACCCACATGGTGGTTAACAACCACCTGTGATTCCAGTTCCAGATGATCTGCACCCCCTCCTGGCTTCCTCGGTCATTGCATGACAGGGATGCACTTACATACATGCAGGCAAAACACTCACACACATAAAATAAAAATAAATAAATAAATGTTTAAAAAAAGAAGTCTGGGAAGCAGCACTCATTTCTCTCAGCTTCCTGACTGCAGAGGCAATGTGAGCAGCTTTCTCAAGCGCCTGCCACCATCCTTCCCTGCCATGATGAACTGCACCCTCACACTGGGAGCCAAAATAAACCCTTCCTTCCTTATGTTGCTTTTGTCAGGTATTTTGCTGCATCAAGGAAAACAAATATTTGTAGACAGATATTCTGGCAAGGCTGGGCCTGTGCCACCCACAAGATAGCTCCATTCCTGGGTGCTGATCTATAAGGGCACAGTGAAAGTGCCATTGTTGGTATGGTCTGTAAAATGGGATAACGATACCACAGGGCTTGGGGAAGAACAGGAACCCAACACTGGTGAGGATCTTGGCACAGCTCCTGGCACAGTAAATGCCAGAGAGCACCAAAGGCAGCCTCCAGTTCTTCCCTAGGCCAGGCCTATCTCTAAGCAACCAGGATGTGGGGGAAGGAGGAAAGTTAGATGCCTAAACCAAGAGTCCAATTTTAATCTATTTTTTAGACAGGGTCTCATGTATCCCAGGCTTGTTTCAAACTCACTACACAGCCAAAGCTGACCTTGAACGGATTCTTCTGCCTCCACATTCCGAGTGCTGGGATTACAGACATGCGTCACCGTGTCTAACTTCAGATTTTAAGCCTGACTGTAATTCCCCCATGCTTTCACTGTGTAACCTTAGGCAAGCCAGCTAACCCCTATAAACTGAGGGTCTGAGCAAGCCTGTCTGGCCTCTGCTCCATAGGTGGTGGACTGGGTGACTCAGAGCAGTCTTTGGCTCTGTACTTTCCAGATGGAATTCTCCACCTACATTTGTTTCCTCCAGGGTAACAGTTCCCACAATGCCCACTCCCTGTACACAGGAGCTGAGTGGCTGGCACTTTCCTCCTATTTTTTCATTTTCCCAGCAGCATCCCCAGGAGGGCACTGCTGTGGTGCTCAGCTCACAGATGAGGAGACCAAGGCACAGGGGCTGGCATATCTACCCTCACCAGCCCCATCCCCCCAGCACGGCATGGGTCACCAGGCAGACCAGATGGGAATCTATGGACGGATCTCCCTCCCTAACCAGGAAGCAAGTTCTTCCTGGGCAGGGAAGGGGTTCAGGCACCAGCACGCTCATGCTCACTGACTTAGGCAAGGACACACACACACACACACACACACACACACACACACACACACACTCACTCCATAGACAGGGAAATAGAGGCCCAAGAGAGGACAAGAGTTGTGTCCAGGGACCCACTCCACCACCTCCCCAGGCTGAGTTCATGCTCAGAAAATGGCTACAAAGAAAACCTCTAGATCCCCAGCTCTCGCCTGGGCTCCCCCTCCTAACACGCACACAAATCAGGGACAAAGGAAAGCGAGTCCGGAGCCTTCCTTCAGCAGCCACTGGAGCCCCTCTCCGCCCCTCTTTGTGTGGGGCCAGAAGGGGCGGGAGCTGTCTGAATGAACCTCAGATTTAATGAGGGGAAGAAAAGGAGAGGGGGCTGGGAAAGAAGGGGCCTCTCAGGCGGGTATAGCTGGAGCCCCCCCCCCATGCTGGCTGCTGCCCCAAAACAAAGCTGGCCTCCCCCCAGGTCCCCAACACAGGCGACCAGACAGGCACACACAACCTCCCTCAATTCCTGAATCTTCCCTGGATCCAAAGTTTGGTCCAGGTGGCCAGTGACAACCGTTGACCAACCTCGCTCAACAGCGAGGAGATGGGGGGGCTCCCTCCACCCCACCCCACCCCATCCCCATCCCAGCCTCTGCAGGAGGGAAGGGTCTGATGCTTGCTGGGGGAGTGCCCAAGAGTGTGCGAGCCAGGCAGCGCGTGGAGTAGACAGGATGCAGGCAGACCCGAGGACGATGGGCAGACAGACGGACAGACCCCGAACCCCAGAGACACGGGCGGGACAACTACAAAAGAGGACTGCGCCAGCCGACAGAGATAGACTGACGGACGCACTGCCAGAGAGACAGAAGGGCACCCGGTAGGGAGAGGCCGGGACCCCGCAGGCCACACAAAGAGTCCCGGCGCCCGGGAAGTGAGGGGCGACCCCGCATCCTAGGGGCAGCTCTAGGTCGAGCGGGATGCTGCGGGGTCGCGGGGTATCGGGCTCCCTGCACCCGCCTGCGGCCTCAGTGGCCCGATTCTCAGGAGAGGCGCCGCCCGGGGGGAGCTCGGCCAGGCTGGGCACCCCACCCTCCCCGGCGGTAACCCGAGAGGAGATACCAGCTGTCCGGTGCCCGGCGGCCGGAGCCGGGTGAATGGATGCAGGGCGCGCAGTGAGAAAGGCGCCCCGGGGGGCCAGGAGGCGGGGTGCTGCCCCACAAAGACAAGTTTGGAGACAGGAAAAGAAAGAAAGTATTTGGAGCGAGAAGGTAGAGAAAAAGTGCGCGGGGCCGCGGGAGGCATGGGGCTCGGGGCTGGGGACTCACGCAGCTGAGCAGGGAGCAGGCGCCCAGGCAGGCCCCCATGGCGGCGCCGGGCGCTGGGCGCCGGCCTCGGATCCGGGATCAGGTCGGACTCGGAGCGCTGGGCGTGGCCCCACCCTGGCCCGGCCCCGCCCCGGCCCCGCCCCACCTGCGAAGTGGGCTCGGCACTTTCCGGCAACACTCGGGGCTTCCCGCGACTCACCTGGGACAGGTGCGCGGGGCGGGACCTCACTGAAAAGGCTGATGCCGGAATACCGGACTCTGACCTAGGCTTGTACCCTGAATCAATGCGAGAATTTGGAAATAGACTTGGATTTGAAGTTGGGGCAAGGCCATTGGGTGATCCGATGGGCAGGATCTAAGAGGTGGTCCTCACTGATCTCCTGGCCCTTATCACAGAGTCTCTGCTTATTGAATGATAAATGACTGGATAAAGAAATGCGAGGAATGGGGAGTGGTGACATAGCTCAGTTGGTAGAATGCTTACCTAGCATGTATAAAGCCCTGGGTTTGATCCCCAGAACCACATAAAACTAGCTCATGCATGTAATCCCAGCAGTCAGGAGGAGGAGGTAAAAGGATCAAAAATCCAAGGTTATCCACAGCTACATAGCTAGTTCTAAACCAGCCTGGGATACATAAGACCCTGAGGAAAGGTAATCACTTTACTTCTCTTAGCCTGCCTCAGTTTCCCTAACTGTGAAGTGCTCACCTCAGGGGGCTGATACAACATATAAGAAATGCTTAATAAATAGAAGCCCTTGTCATCCCTGCACCCTTTTAAGACCCCAATCTCATAGTCCCTCAAACTTTCTCCTCTCCATCCACCTGCTCTTCAAACTCTACTGACTCAGAGCAGGCTGGTTTGGGCCATCCACCCCACAGCCACCCCCTGCTCAGCACTCCCCACTCCCTAGGGATGTGCAAACACTGCCTCCTCCCTAAAGAGGTCACTAGGAGGACAGTCCTGGCAGATCATCCCCCAGGGGCAGATGTGAGACCCAGCAGCAGGGTTCTTAATTACTATAGCTCACTCCAGCCCTCTCCTCCTCATGTTAGGGAAGGAAATCCATATGCTTCTGTTGGCCCCAGGGGCCGAAGATCCTGCCCAACTGCTTCCCTGGTGATTCATAGAGCATCAAGCTGAGCCAGTAATTGTGCCAGGGCTGTTCCACAAACACCCTGCACTTTCCCTCCTCCACACATCAGCCCACATGGCGCCTTCCTCTTGAAGGGCCTTCTCCTTATCCCCCTGTGGCACCTTCAAAGCCTTGCTCACATCCCACATCTTCTGGGTGAAGTGAACAGTGGCCACCAGCCCATGTCCTGGCCCTGCTAGAAATGAATCTCCTGTCACTTCCTGGAACATTGTGGCCTCAGGAACAACTAACCTTATCACAGAGCTCAAGCAAGTATGATCGTGACACCATTCAAGTCCACATCTGTCCTGAGAAGTAGATTAATTCCTTGCCCCGATTTATAGATGAGGAAAGAAGCAAAGCAACATGCTCTGGGTAAGCTGAGCCCTGGTCAAACACAGAATGTGGTCACAGAGGTTGTTACTGCACTTCAAGTTCACACAGCTCAGAAGGGGCAGGGCTGGGAGGTCACCCAGCGTAGCCTTGATCTTGGACCTCCACACCTATCCTTGACAGTGTATGCCTCTCTTGGAAAGTAGAGGTGGTAGACCCTGTGCCTCTCCCTACAGCAATTCTTCCATCCTCCCCTACTCTTCCATCCTCCTCCCCTACTCTGTCTTCAGTCCTGAGGAGACTTGTGACTCTCCCTCTGATTCACCTCTGGCTGTCCCTGCACCTTCTGTGAACACAGCACAGGTTACATGGCAAGTCAGGATGTTTGCTGAATGAATGTGTGAACTCCAACTGTAAACCCAGTTTCCTCATTCTTCTGTGTTTGACACCATGACCCAATAGCCCCACCTTCCACAGAACTGTCCCCTAAGCCTGAAATGTACCCCACAGTCCCAGTGTACACATTCCACACTTGGGGTCCCTTTGACACATCTGCCCCATTAGCCCAATCCTCCACCAACAGCACTTCCCCTTCCATTACCCAGCACAGTAGAAATTGCCCGAGACACAGAGGGGTGATACCTGGGGTCCTTATTCTGCCCCAGCCTCCCAGCACCTGATGACATCCTGGGGACACTTCACCTTTTCTACCCCCTCCCCTGAAATGAGCTGTTTATTCTGCTTCACCTTATGAGCAGATAAGAGCATCAAAGAACATTCTAAGAAGTAGCTGTTGTCTGAGGAGAGAGAGAGAGTTAATATGACTGCAGTGTGGACAGAGCCCCTTGGTGTTAGGCTAGAAAATTCCACAACAGGGCACTGTGCTGCTGTGGTCCTGGCTTCACCCCTGCCTGGGACTGGGGCCTGCTGGGCTCTCACATTCCCCTCACCACCCTGCAGGGAGGGACAGCCCACCATGTACAGGACTCACTGTGTAGTCTTGTTCGGGTTCCCCTTCTTCTTTCAGCCTCACGCTTCTCATCTGTAAAATGGAAATGATCAGTTTGCACTGGTTGTCTGGCTGTTGAGGACATGATAAGAGGAAGCAGATAAAAAGGCCTCATTGCTTGGCAACCTGACCCCCCCCCACCCCAATCAGCCTTCCTCTCTGTCTAGAACCTCCTGCATGGAGCCAGACAAACTCTTTCTCTCATACCTCCAAAGACAAGATCACAGTCAGCAGCTTTGTGATCATGGGCCAGTCAGCTAAGCTCTCTGTGCCTCCTTGAAGTGCTGGGATACAGGATTCAGCTCTTCCACTCAAAACCATGGAAACCATGTTCATTGAGATGAAAGGGTCCATCCCCTTATGCCTATTATCACCCAGTCCAGACAGATTCTCAACACCCCAGTCCCCAAAGCTCTGGCTCCACAAGCCACAAGTGTTCTCTGATCTGATCTCAATGAGCCTCTCTTTTCAAATCTGAAATATAGGAAGTAAACCCTCCCCAATCCCTCAGTGCCTCCAGTCTCCCACAGCCCATTAGTGCCCCAATCCCTCTCACCATCCTCCCATCCATAAGGACTCAGACTTGCTCCTGCTTTGAGCCTCCTGTCCCCTGGGCCTCAATCTCTGTTCTGGCCCCTACTTCCTGCTTCTGACCCATTTACAGAGCAGAGCCAAGGCCATCCCTTATGAATATGCATGTAGGATAATGAGGGCTTGGGGTGGGGGAGCACCTGGGAAGAAGCATGATCACCATCCACCCTGCTGTTGCCATACAAACCCCCAGCTAGGGCTGTCCTTCCTCCCAAAGGAGCATGGGAGCCGAAGCAGCAACCTTAACATCCGCAGACCGTTCCTAAGTGCCTATGGCTGCTGGCACTCTGCTAAGAGCGGCTCCTCAAGATGCACTTAAAGTGGAACCTGCTTTCTCCACATCTCACAAGGACATCCATTCTCTAAGCACATCACCCAGATGGGGTGTGCCCAGTGGTTATGGGCAGAGCCAGGGTGGGCCCAAGTTTCCTCCAGAGAATAGAACATTAAAACTGGGGCTTTCAACCCCTGCTGCCAGATGTTCAGCTGAGAGTGCTGAGCACACATTCATGGGGCCACATCTGAACCTCTCATGCCTGCAGACGAGACTCAGAGTCTTAGGTGACTCTTAGGAGGCCTTGGGGAAAGACCCAGATCCGGCTGAACATGGTGGCTCATGTCTGCAATCCCGGCACTCAGGAGGATTGCTATGAGTTTGAGGCAAGCCTGAACTACAGAGCTCCAGGACAGCCTGAGCTATAGAGTGAGACCCTGTCTTAAAAAAAAAAAAAATAGGAAAAGAGAAAAGGATGGAGGAAAATTGAGGAAGGAAGGAAGGAGGGAGGAAGGAAAAAAGGAGGGAGGGAGGGAAGGAGGGAGGGAGGAAGGAAGGAAGGAAGGAAGGAAAAAAGGAGGGAGAGAGAAAGGAAGGGAGGGAGGAAGGAAGGAGAAAGGGAAAAAAAGGAAGGAAGGGAGGGAAAGAGGGAGGAAGGAAGAAAGGAGAGAGGGAGGAAAGAAGGAGAAAGGGAAAAAAGGAAGGAAAGGAGGGAAGGAGGGAGGAAGGAAGAAAGGAGGGAGGGAGGGAGGGAGGGAGGAAAAACAAAAGAAAGAAAGAAAAATACTCAGAACTAGAAGAAAGTGACTCCATTTGGAATATGTAGAGACAGACAGGTGTGTGCTCACAGTATATGTTCACATGTGTGCAGGCATGATATCATGTGTGCATGGATGTAAGCACAGATGCCCTACAGCTGCCTGGTGTCCACACCTCTGTGCCACCATGGGGCCTTTTTCAAGCAACAGTTACAGAGGCTGTGGGTGCTGGGGACATAGTAGCATCCATGCTAACAGTCCCTGTCAACAGGGAGAGGATGGTCTGGTGGACTTTGTTCCTGACTCTAGAAGGTGTCTGCTTCCTTTGTGGGAAGTGTCTGGGGTGAGGGAGAAGACAGTAGTGAAGGTGGAAAAGATGGGCACACAGGTGGGGTGCTGTCAGATGTGAAGAATGCTGAAGGTGTGCAGATGCTTTCCTCTAAGACAGCAAGGGTCTGTTCAGAATGCAGGTATGAGCATAGGTGTGGTGCACAGACCAGTGTGTGTGATGTGTGTTATATAGATGTATGTGGTTATGTGCATGGAGAGTGCATGTATATTTGGAATGTAAGTCATATATGTGTGCACATGTGGATTTTACATGTAGGGTGTCAGTGTGTGCATGTATGTAATAGTAGGGGGGAGAAGGAAAGAAAAAAAAGTCATCCAACCCAACTTCACACTCATTGCCTGGATAAAGAAACAGGAAGGGAAAGAATGGACCACTGGAGGATGGGTAGACGCATAGATAGAGACGGATGCAGGGATGGGTATTTGAGAAAAAAAACATACAGTGCTTGTTCTAGGTTCCAGTTGGTGATGGGTATTTTTCTTTTCTTTCCTTTCTTTTTTTGGGGGAGGGGCATTTTATTTTTATATTATGTGTATGAGTGTTAAGTATATGCACCAATGTCGTGCAGTGCCCAAGGAGGACAGAAGGGGGTGTCAGATCCCCTGGAACTGTAGTTACAGTTTGTTAGCCATCATGTAGGTGCTGGGATCTGAACCTGGGT